AGTTAACACGTCACTTCCTATCTCAAGAAATCCTGTTATAAAAGTGGGGTTTACACTTGATGCCTTAATAAGCTAATTATGAAGAAAATAAATGTTTAAAAATATAAAAATTGAGAAAAGTCCCCATTGCAACCCCCTAGGGCTGTTGACCTGCCCAGTCCCCAAACCCCACCRGCAGCTCAGGAGCGTGGCTGCCGCCCTAGACACCCTGGACGCCCAGACCACTGCCTCTTGCCCTGCCGGCCCTCCTCAGCACAGCGGCAGCCAGAGCAGCCTGGCCCTGGTGTTTGAGAGGCCCGGGGCGTGCACCCACTYGACCCAGATACCAGCACTGCTGTGCACAGAGATCAGTTAGTGTGTGAACAGTTTGGGAAACGTCCGGATTTCACCCACGCGTGCCCTCACTTCATGTCCCTCAGTGCAGCTCTCAGGGCCCTCAGGAGCTCTGCAAAGGAAACACCAGGGGCCTGTGGTCAGGCTGCAGCACGGGCCAGGACCCACTCCCCTCCACGGTGGGACCAGGCTGGCAGGCACACCAGACACACCAATCCCGCATGGAGAGGGGACCCAGCTCAGGGATCTGCCAGGTACGGCCAGGCCACTTCCTCTGCAGCCTCCTGTCTCCTGCAGCCCCAGTGTGGCTTGACAGTCTGCCCTACCACCCCTGGAGGAGCCTCCTGGGAGTTGGTACCCCTGGGGGAGATTTTTCTGAAAAAGATTTCAATATAGAGAAAACCAACTCATCAGACTTTTAGGAAATAGGAAGTGGACATGTCACAGTTAATGCTCAACCAAGATAACGGACATGTCCAGCCCCTGCCAGAGGGGCCAGTGCTGCGAACCAAAGTCCAAGAAACCACACCCTCAAAGGGTGGGCAGGGCCCTTCTGAGGTCAGCACCAAAAGATCCACACCAGGCTGCTGCCTGGAGCCCAGGCGGGCGTGGAGGRTCAAGTGCAGCACAGCATGGCTGGCCACGCCGCTCGCCTGCACTGTGCTCGCTCGCTGCCTTCTAACACCCTTATTTCATATTTAATAAGGAAGGATTTGTGATTACTTACAATTTCAGACACTGGGATTTGGTACAGTTACATGGCTTTTTAGACTTTGTGTCCCATGAACTAAGAGTTACTCTACAAAGATTAAAAAAGAAAATGTTTTCAGATGGTTACTCTGTGGAAAGAGAATTAGCTAAGCAGCTGGTGCTCTGAACAAACACTGAGACTCTCAACCAGACATTGCTAGGCATTATCTATTGGTGTCTGATCATGCAATGGGAACGGCAGGTATATCTACAGGGTGACACTGCTCGCTAGCTCGCCAGACCCACTGGCGCTTGCCCAGGGATCTGGTGGGGTCAGGGAGCAGGTGCGTGCTTCTCTCCACACTGGCCAAGGACGCCTCCTAAGCCCTCTCCCTGACCTGTGTGAACCTCTATTCTGCGTGCCCTCCCCCCAAGCAGTCTTCCCCTAGCCCGACACTAACAGGACGCAGGATGAGGAACGTGGGTAAGCCACGGTGGAGCTTCACGCCAGGGCGGGCACTGTGGCATTACCAGCAGCCGCAAGCGCGTTTCCAGTCACAAGATCTCCAGGGACCTCCCTGACCACAGGAGGGGATCAGCCTGGAAATCGCTGATCCCTGAGGGGGGACACTCCCCTCTGGTGCATCTCTACTGCTGCCGGGCTGGGGGCAGGCACTGCTCGCACGGGCACTCCCTGTGGGGACTGGGGATACCAGACATGCCGAGGTCATGGCCATGGTGAAAAGGAGGGTCCTCCTGACGTGGGTGTGTGACCTGTGCACTGGGCAGCGTGCCTCTTAAGGTCATGTGGAGGGTCTGTCCCTGCAGGCACGACACCTCCTGGCCAAGGCCGCCACAGGAGCTAGAGCAGCATCAGYGGAGCAGAGCCCTGGGCTCTGTGGTTACGACCTGGCAAAGCCCTGTGCCCTGCCTCTGCACTCTGGGCCTTACCCTCCACCCCCTGGAGAGCTGCCTTTGCCTCCAGCTCTGGCCCAGTCTCCCCCCAGCTCTCATCTAGTCTGTCTCACCACGCACCAGCCAGGGTCCCCCTGGAGCGCCCTTCCACTGTTAGACCGTGTCACTGARCGCTGGACTGTTTGGTATTCAGCTAGTGTGATCCCTTGGTGATCCTCGTGGTGCTGGAAGTGGCAGGGCTAGCTATTCTGCCCCCTGGCCAGTCCACCTGTGGGGCAGACCTGGGCCTGCTCAGAGCAGGGGCTCCGACACCAGCTTCAGTGCTCCTGCCCTGGGCCCTGTGTGACCTGCCCTGAGCTGGGTGCGGGGGGCCTGGCACTTCCTGTTCAGAGGAACCAAGCTATTTAGGGTGGAGACATCCCAGAATGAGAAGAGTCCTACAGTGTCAGGAGGAGGCCACCATGTGGTCAGCATGGTGAGGAGTGCTTTATCCCTTCCACTTGCTGAGGAATCCACCAAATAACTGGGGACACGARACACACGCAACTGCACATTTAGGGAATGCAGGATGGCATCTCATCTGCTGTCATTTCATACTGATGATAAATGACCCCAAAATTCAGGCAGGCTGGTTAACACAGGTGGAAGAAGTTAAACTGGCTCTGTTAGGAAGGAGGGGGACTTGGCATCAGCTTTTAAGGCTGTGATCTTCTTTATTGTTGGTCAAAAGGATGCCTCCCTAAAGCCACAGGGGACCGGAAGGGACCGGCCAGCTGTCATGGAAACCAGATGGCTCTGACAATATTTGACCACCTTCTTAGTGCCAACCTAAAAATTAGAGAGTCAGAAGGAGATCTGGGCAGYTCTGCCTCAAAACAATTATAAATGGACTATACTGCAAGGAGATTACCCTCCGCTTTAAGAAAGAGTTCCCAGAGATGCAGGCTCCCGGTTGTTCTTTATGATGATGCTCAGTGTGTTCCCCAAACCCACAGCATGAGCACTGTCAGGACCCACCTTCATGGCCTGACTGGCAATTGGGTCACTAGTGCTACATAGAGTGACAGGAGATGGATTTTACTAATATGCTAATAAACTGTTAGTGAGTTAGCAGTCACCTCCCAATTCTAAGGAGAAGCAGGTGGCCCAAGCCAACCTGCTTCCATATCATCTCCAAGTTAGAGCGGCTAGAGCCAGAGGGGATGACAGTGTCTTTTCTGAAATCTGCAGACCCAGCGTGCCCTGGTCGTCTTGTGGAAATTGGAAGAGGCATCCAGAGAAGCGTCRAGAGGGAGAGTGAGAGGGTCGCGGCTGGGGACTCACACGGAATGAAGCGCCAGCTGCAGCCCTCCRACTGCCACAAATGAACCTTGGCAGAGATCCCAGCACACCATGAGCTGGCGCATGCTGAGACAAAGCCATCAGCTGATTCAGGGGAATGACAGCAAGTCAGGTAATTATTTGCAGGAAAACAAACAAACACAAAGCTCATGTTTCTGACACATCCTTTAAACAGGGAAAGCTTCTGTGGCCCTCGCTATTACCTCAAAGGGAAGAGAAGTGTGTGGCTGGTTGAGAAAACCTAATATGGAGGAGGAGAGGAGGATGAGGATGAGGAGGATGAGGAGGAGGAGGATGAGGAGGAGGAGGAGGAGAAGGAGGAGGAGGAGGAGGACGAGGAGGATGAGGAGGACAAGGAGGAGGACGAGGAGGAGGAGAAACAGAGAGAGCTGTCCCCCGTGGGGATGCACGGGCTGCCGGGCAGCCAGCCTCACATGGCCCGCAGTTGTGAGCATGTGCAGCTCAGAATCATATTTCCTGGATGTTCCAGAGGCAYCAAAGTGCACAGTGGTGCAACACAGCTCATCGGACGTCCCCAGGTCTCAACAAGCTACAGTGAGCCCCCTGCGGCCTGTGACCTCCAGACCRTCCTGGGCAAGCCAGGTGCAATGCTGGCGTGGAACCAGGAAGCTGCTTGGGTCATCTTTGCTTCCTCAAAAACCATTAACAGCCACCGAGACAGGACAGCTGCCATAACACCCAGCACATCCTCAGGGGTCCCCAGCACCCAGAGAGGGAAGCGTGGAGACCGGCTCCCCAGTCTCCCCTTCCCTCAGTGAAAGTCCTCGCCGGCTCCACTCAGCAGTGCAGCCAGCTCCAGAGGCAGCTGCTGAAGCTGAAGCAGCAGGTCCCTGGGCTGCCATCCACAGCAGAGGCACACATGTGGACCAAGTCCACTGTCTCCAGAGTCCCTCCAAATGGTCCACTCAACAGCCTGGTGCTCCAGCCCCAAACAACSGGCCTCAGGCTTTCCAAGGCCAGGACTGCTCGCTGCCTGAGGGAGGGGCTTGTGGGAGTGTCTGACCCGCTGTCCTCAGGCCCACATGAACGGCTGCCCTGACTGTGGTCAGTGGCTCTTGGAGGCAGGAGCAGACTGACCTCCACATCAATACAGGACCCAGAGAGCAGCAACGGTGGCTCAGAGCACAGGCTTAGCCCACAGTTAGTATGTGATTGTGAACTTGACCACGTGTTCCAACCAGCTTGCTTAGTTCAACTGGTTATAATTACAAACACAGCTTTAAAATGGCGAGACAAGGTCCTGGCTAAGTGCAGACCACGTCCACCTGGAGATCCTGAAGGCAGGACCACAGAGCGGCACCCACTTCCTACCAGGTGGCCGGCAGAGCCACTGTCCATGTCAAGAGGCTGCCGYGGCATTACTTGCATTGATGACAGCAAAAAAGAAACAGATCAACACGACCAGAATCTATGTGAAAAACAGACTTGGCCAGAAATGGCCACAAGCCCTGAAATAGCCACACAGGACAGCGGACAGCACAATGGAGAGAGGGCGGTTGCCGATCCGCCTTTCTAGCAACTCCAAAGCACAGGTGTGCATCAAGCTSGCCAGCAGTGCTGCCCGATGCAGCTGACTTCCAGGGGCCATGAAGGGTGCAGGCAAAGCTAGTCCTATGGCACAGAAGGACGTCCCAGATGCACACGAAGCCTCTTAGACTCTGACATTAAAGGAAGTACCAACTTATTGCTTTAATCCTTACCCAGCCAAAGCGATTTTTGGTGGTCCTGGAAGAGCTGATCCTGTGGGGAAAGCAGGCCCGGGAACTGCCGAGGGGCGGGCCCCGCTGTCCAGCTGCACAAAGTCAAAGGCAAAAGTTCTTGGAATCAGCAGGTGTGTTCACAGCACCCACCAGCTCCACGCACATCTGGGTCTCTGCCCACTCCTCCCAGCCCCTGCCACGCCTTGTTTCCAGACAAATTCAGTAATAGGCTGAAGCCATCTTGCAGGCCTGCCCTGACACAGGCCCCGTGTGCATGAAAGACCCAACCYGGGGATGCAGAGAGGAAGAAGGCAGGGAGGGTAGGGGCCGCAGAGGACAGCATACAGCTATCAGTTGGCTGCCAGGGATATTTCTTTTTTATGAAATATCAATTGTGAAGTAAAGTCCATTACATAATCCATTAACTRAGAGTGTTCTTATTATTTTTATGTTTTAATATATACGTAAGAGATTTTGATATTTGACATCTCATTGGCAACCACTAATTTTTGTCTGTTTAAAAAAATATTTAAAGGCCAAGTGCAGTAGCCACACCTGTAACACTAACTCAGGAGGGAGGCTAATGCAGGAGGATGGCAAGTTCAAGGCCAACCTCAGCAACTTAGCAAAGTTCTCAGCAACTTAGCAAAACCCTGTCTCAAAACTGAAAAGGGCTGGGGATGTGGCTCAGTGGTCAAGTACCCTGTGTTCAGTCCCCAGCACCAAAACGCAAAAATTTTATAGTCGGTTCTAACAACCTCAGAAGCAGCACGGCAGGCTCTGGGTTGTGTTCTTCCTCCCATCCCTCACCAGGCAAGGGGCGACAGCAAACCAACCCTGACCCCCTGCCCTCTCATCAGAAACTTGATGAAAAGTTCTAGATGAAATCAGGGTTCTAGATGATTTGAACATCATCGTTTACATCCCCTCCCTGTCCCTCCATCTTCCAAAAATGAGCTTCCTTCAAGAAGTGCAGCAATGGAAGAGCACACGTCTTATTCACCCTTTGCCTTTTCTCTTCTGCCCCCTTCAGCTGTGTGACATCGAAGCCTGTCAGAGCCAGAAGATGCAGGGAGACCACCCTCCTACTGGGCTGTGTGCACCCTCCCCAGGGTCTCAATCCCAGGTGGGGTGGGACCTGTGGCCTACTTCCCATCCTGCACCACGCTCTGAGCAGTGAGAGTTGAAGGAAGGGACAACTGGGGTCTGGCAAGGAAGAGAGGGATTCTAGGACACGGCAAAAGTCCTGCTGAAATAATTGTCCCTGAGACAAGAGGTCAGGGGGAGCCACGGTGGGRACAGTAATAAACATGGTCAGGGAAACACAGGAAGAGGGGAAGCTGTGGTGACGGGTGTCTGTGGCGCGAGATCTTGGGGTGGASGAACGGCAGGATGCCTTCCTGGCTGCAGGGAGCTGTGGCTGTGGTGGTGGTGGGGGCTCCCTCAATGCTCACCAGCCAGGCAGGCACTTCCTGTGTCCGGCACTGCCCAGAACCCTCTTTCCCCTGGCCTCGACACGTTCGCCTCGCTGYCTCAGGTCATGCACCCGCTGCTGGCCATCCCAGCCTTCTCCCTTCTGCCCAGCGTCTCCACTGGGTGTCTGAGATATCCCAAACTCCTGGACAGATGGGCTCCTTGGCTCACCCTGAAACACCTGGGCTCAACTTTGTCTCGGCCAATGGAAACTCCACACATGCTTCCATTGGTTCAGGCTGAAAATTGGCAAATGGGGTACAGTGCTGGCCTTGAGGTGGCAGGACAGGGGCGCAGGGATTCCGGAGATGGCAAGGAGCTGGGTCCAAGCTTCCTCCTCCCTCCCAGACCCTGACTATAGTAAAGGGATCCAGTGCCTCCTAAAGGTTTCACTGTTGCTTTCTTGGGTGCTGGGGAGTGAACCCAGGGGGCACTTAACCACTAAGCCACATCCCCAGCCCTTTTTATTTTTTGTTCTGAGACAGGGTCTCACAAAGTTGCTGAGGCATTGTTCAACTGTTCAGCCTGATGGGCAAGTGCTGCACCACTGAACCACATTCCTAGCCCTTGCTGTTGATTTTTAACTGTGTGATAAATTATAGTTCCTGAGTAACTTCAACCACAACAACTGAAATTTCAAGAGACATTAATGCCCAACTGTACTTTTGTATTAAAACAACGACTCACTTGTTGTGCAATGAGATTTAATTTTGCTGGTACTGGCAAAAATCTTCCTACTAAAGTAGTCATTGGCTTTGGGACATCTGTAAGGAAGACAGTTAAAGTTAACAATGCACACAATTGTTCCTCTTCCGCTTGTGCGTGGGAGGAAGGGCAAAATGTAATATGGCTTGATCATGCATGAAGTTATTGAAACTTAGTTTGATCCTGTTTGTATGTTTTTAATTCTATGAAAATTTTCAGGTCAATCTTTGTTGTGATTGTTTTGTTTTCACCTATTATACCCTTTCRTTTATTTTTCCATCATAAAGTTGCAGGAGCAGAGCCTCAAGGGTGGTCCACTGTGCTAAGGAAATGGTGCTACAGCCCAGGTTCCCAAACTTTGTGCCAAGGTGTCTGGGTGTGGCAGCAAGTTGGCCAGGGCACTAGGGGGATGATACGTTTTAAAGAAAGCCTAGTGACATCTGTCCAGTACCACATCAACTAWGCTCAATGTGTGTGTCTTCTTCAAATGGTTCCTAAGTTGCTAGAAATAAATACTTATTAAGCTATTTGGACCAAATTCTTCATACTGGAACTGAAAGGTATTTCTTTGGCCTAAAGGTGCTAAAAATGACCTTCCTGACAGTGAGGGTGCAGCAGAGCTSTGTGTCCTGAGCCTGGGTGGAGAAGCCCGCGTCCTCCCTGCCACAGCCCTGCAGGCTGAGCACACTTCCTTTCCTAGGCCTCCCATCCTTGGTGGTGACTCAGGGGAGGGAGAGCAGCTTGCCAAGCCGCCTGCTCGGCCCTCCCTGCCCCTTTCACTCTGGTTCCAGCTTAAACACGACAGAGGATAKGATTTTCACTCATCACTTTGTACCTGACTGTAGATAATTATTCTGGTCTTGATGCTGGGGAACCAAGTGAAGGGCCTTGAGCTCTCTTGTGCCAGAATGCTCTATGCACAGCATCTGTGCCCCCCCTTTCAACTGACATATCACCTAAAATGAAAAAGAGCGGTCAGGTTCCATTCCTCCAGGAATCTAAACCTCAAAGAACTTACATCAGAAAAGAGCTTTAATGCAGGGTTGAAGTTTTAGGGGAATATGGGAAGCTACACATCTGTTCTGTTTCTTCCTGTTCAATAGCTGCTCCTTAAAAAGGCCCCCAGAGACTTCTCTGTGGTGCTTATCAAGTGCTAACAGAGGGTCCRCCCTGTCTCCTCCAATTTCTGACGATAGAGACTTGTTTAAGGAAAGAGGCCTCACACAGAGCCCCCCTTCCCTGTCCTTAACTGCACATCCCACATTAATACAGACTGCTCGTGGAACCTGTTCCACTGGACTTGGCTATCCCCACCATGTCCCCTCTGTTCTCAGTGGCCATGCCCAGGCACATCTGTACAATAAACGTGGTTCTATAAGCAGTTATTTCCTGCCACATGCACATATTATTATTTAACAAGTAGTTGATTTTTAAAAAGTTCCTCTTATTTACCACAAGGACAGTTTTGAATTTTCTAAGAACTAGAAAATCTTAAAAAGCCACATGGATCTTACTGGGCCTTCTGAGCACTGCCAGATCCCCACTTGGATTCTGACACTGATGAATCCTCAGCGAGCTGGGTCGGCCCATTAATCTCAGGATCGACAGTGCTCCATGAGCACCCACTGTGGTCCAGGCCAGGTGACACAGACACATGAGCACCCACTGTGGTCCAGGCCAGGTGACATAGACACATGAGCACCCACTGTGGTCCAGGCCAGGTGACATAGACACATGAGCACCCACTGTGGTCCAGGCCAGTGGCACAGACACATGAGCACCCACTGTGGTCCAGGCCAGTGGCACAGACACATGAGCACCCACTGTGGTCCAGGCCAGTGGCACAGACACATGAGCACCCACTGTGGTCCAGGCCAGTGGCACAGACACATGAGCACCCACTGTGGTCCAGGCCAGTGGCACAGACACATGAGCACCCACTGTGGTCCAGGCCAGTGGCACAGACACAGGCACAGCTTCCTGTTACAGGAGAAGGGGGCCCAGCCCCTCTAGGATGCCAAGCCACAGGGCACCCAGCTCAGTGCCTGACCCCTGGCTCTGCGTGGGCTGACATGACTTCTGGTCACTCTCCTCAACAAACACAGCAAGGTCCCAATCCTTGTTCATCTTGCTAAGATGGAGTAGAAGTGAGGATCCTAGAGGTTAGGAGGTGAAAGGTGAAAGCTCCCGTGGACACTGTCCCTTGGCAGATGAGACAACCAAAAGCTCTGGTTCAACAGGCAAGTGGAGCCAGAGACAGYGGCGGCCTTTACCAGGAGCCGGCCATAGGCGCCTGTGTTGGCATATTTACCATCGGGCCGGAGTCTTTCTTGCGAGAGCAGCCAGGGGCGTCCTCTGCTTCTTGGGATGACAGGAAGGTGCAACAGGACTCCTGAGCAAGAGGACTCTGGAAGGCTGCTTCCTCGGGGTTGTCACTTGCGACACTGCCACCCCCTTCCTTGATCTCAACCTAGAAAAGCAATGGTTATCTCAGAGAAGACATGGTGCACAGTATTGAAGACCTACTAGATTGGAGCTCTGCATTTAAGTCACACGTGAAACGGCGTCCTTACCACAGTGGCTCCTTCCTCCCTGGGGCTTCTAAAACCACTCACCCCCTACCCCCATGGGCAACAAGGGGAGTCGGTCATCTGCCAGCCTCACCTGGRACTGAGGACCCAGAGGAACAAACCGTCTGTCTGTGCTGTGCAGGTGGCGATGGGAAACGAGGTGGTGCTTCTGCTATTTCCAGAGTCCAGTCTAAATAACCAAAGGGCCCCCCTGGGTCTGGCGCCTCTCAAAGCCCCTACTCCACTGGAGTTGGGAGCCCTGTGGACCGGGTGTCACCTGAAATGCTGGCACTCATCAGGTGTCCTGTCAGCATGCACCTTAGGTCCTATTAAACCGTCTAGTCAAATTGTTTTGCTTTTTCCTCAAGAAGCCCAAAGTACTTGTGATGTTCAGTATTAGTATAATGTAGTTTAKCACTGATATTGTATTTAAAGTAATATCTTAAATTTAAAAGTAGCCCCTTCCTGCTGTAGTAACAAAGACAATAAGAAGAAACAGTGAGCACTGGAAACCAGCCCCAGCTTTGGATTCTATTCTATTCCCCGGGCCCCGCCTTTTTCTTTTTTGGCCCTGGGGATTGAACCCGGGGTGCTCTATCACTGAGCTGTGTCTCCAGCCTCTTTATTTTTTGAGACAGGGTCTCACTAATTTGCTGAGGCTGGCCTCAAACTTGCAATCTCCTGCCTTAGCCTCTTGAACAGCTGAGATTATAGACCAGAGACACCAAGCTGGTCACCAGCTCCGTTTCAAGCCATCCTTGTCAACTCAGTTACTAGAAACAGGGAGAAATAAAGTGGCATTACTTAAAAATCAAATGAATTTTTAAAAAGTTTAAATGTCCCAATGGTTAAAAAAGTTACCATCACAATTGTTTCAAAATTGGGAAGATTTTAAGTCTGTGAAGAGAACAAGGARGGTGGGGAGGCAGGGCACATTCTGCGTGGCTCTCACCTACCTCTCCACCCTTCCTGCCCAGGCTGCTGATCAGAGCACAGGTGGCCTCCTCAAACACCAGGGGGCAGGGCAGATCCTGAAGTCCCCAAACAGGTGGTGATTCTAGGGTAATATTTAAAGACTTCACATGAAATCACCAACAGGAAACTGTCTCAAAATGTTGAGTGCTGACTCAAGCTTGGTCTAACCTAGTAAAAGCAGAGGTCCAAACAACAAGTACCACATACTGGCAAATACTTAGCCCAGTAGACTAGCATCTAGTGTAAATCTTAACAGATACAGGAAAGTTTAGCTACATTTCAAGTTATAGCCTTAGTTAGACTCTCAAGTTTTATAGACATACAGAAAAATGTTAAAATTTTCTTCTGCTTGCTGTGTTGGGGAACTTGCCATGCACATCTGACCCCCCACATTTAGATTTACCTCCCCCAAACCAACCAACATTTATGTAGTAAATAGTTAATCTCCTCAGCCCTGTGCAACTAATATCTTAACATACTACAGCAAAATTATTCATACTACAGCAAAATTCCACTTTCACAGAATCTAAATGAAGGTCAATATGTGGGAATGAATCTCCAGAAAAAAGAAAATAGTAATTCACTCTGCATATTTACTGGAAAACAATTCCATTCAGTTTAAATGATAAATATATCCCTGTTCTTTTTCATTTTATTAATGAATCAGGAAATTGTCCATAAAAAATAAAAAAAATGAAAGTTTCTCCTTTGTCAATCTGTCAAACTTGGATAACGTTAAAAGATTGTGTCACCGTCTTTAACATCAGCTAATTCTCTGCCCTGCCCTGACTCCACTTGGAGAGGGAGGGAGCCAGCCCATCTGGGAGCAGCAGGCAGAGGTGCTGAGACCCCCAGCTCTGCTTGGTGGCAAAATGGGTTTCTGACGTTTGGAGCCAACTGCAAACAGTGCTGAGGGAGGCCTTGGCCCAGGGGCTGGGGCTCCAGGGTTCCTCTGAGGACAAACTGAGCGCTGTAGGAGCCCCAGCCTCTGCCCCACATCTTCTGGGACACCAAGGAGCAGTGAGTAGGACAAAAGAGAACCCGAAAAGCAGAAATTGAAGCTCCGCTGTGTGGCTTATGACAGTCTCAGTCATCTCAGCAGAAAAGCCCACTCTAGAGCTAACTGACACRTGTGAACATGAGAGGTATCCAGTATTCCAAGCCGGGTCCTTTCTGGGGACCAAGGTGAATTTGTTTCCTTTGAAATCTGACTCATTTAGTTTCAGCAAGAAGAAAGCAGAAAATTACCAGTGGCTCTTCTTTGCTAAAGAGACCCAAGCGTTGAGAATCAGCAAGATTTAGACTCTGATCTCTATCACATATTTTAAGAACCATTCCTCCTTCTCAGAGGGAACCTTGATTCTAAGCTCAGCAAATGGATACCAACTTGATTCCTTGGTGTGATTGACAAGTCTGATGTATTCTAAGAAAAGACCGTAAGGTGGGACTGGGTTGGGGCTCGGTGAGTGCTGGTCCAGCCCGTGCGATCCCCAGAACCGCAGGATAAAACCCCACAGACACAAGATGCAGACACCCRAGCGCCCGTTACTCTACCCTAAGTCAGGCTCCCTCCCTAAAGAAGCCGGCAACAGCAGCGTTGGCCAAGTTCAGCCTTCTCTGCTCTTCCCTCTCGGGAGACGTCTGCACCTCCGGGCCCGCTTTGACCCAGGGCACAGTCACCTGCAGGAAGAAGGGCAGACGCGCCCTGTCGGGATCAGTGACTCCCGGGGATGCTACGGGCCAGGGGGACTCTTGCTGTGGACCCGCGCCCCGGGGGTGCCTTTGGACTCGGGTGACGCGCGGGGCCCGCCCCCAGGCGGCGCTTACTGGAATCACCCGCACTCCGGCGCCCAGCGGCACCAGCGCCGGGCCGCGCGGCGCGGGCAGCAGCGAGGACAGGACGTGCACGCTGTAGGCGGGCGGCGCGGCGTCCTCCGGGGCGCGCAGCTCGGGGAGCCCGGGGAAGTCCCCGAGCAGCGCGGCCTGCACCTCGCCCGGGCAGTCGGCGCCGGGCGGCGGGCTGAGCGCGCGCAGCAGCGGCTCGGCGGGGTCCGCGGCGCCCAGGTAGGCGTCGCCCAGCACGGGCAGCTCGTCCGGCTCGGGCTTCACCACGACGGCGGGGCTCAGGGCCAGGCCCTCCGGGACGAAGGGCCGCTCCGGGCAGAAAAGGTCGGTCACCATCTCATCGTCGGGGCCCGACATCGCGCCCAGCAGAGGGGCCTCTTCCATGGCGACAGAGGGACGCGGGGTCCGGCAGCGCCCGTGCCCTGCTCCAGCCTCGCACCTGCAACGAGCGGCCAGGTGAGGCGCGCCGGCCACGCCCTCCGGGACGCCGCASCCCGACCAGGACGGGGGCTCGGGCCCGAGGGGGCGCCTGGTCGGGCCGCGGGGGACACACCTGGGCCGCCCGGCTGCGGCGGAGCGACGCGGTGGCCGGTGCGAGCCGAGCGCTGCCTCGCGCCGCGGCCGTTGGCGGTTGGGGAGGGGGCGGGGCGTAGGCTGACACCGGGTGGGCGGGGCCAGCTGGCTGGGCGGGGCCATGCAGGGGCGGGGCCACCGCCCTGCGTTCGCGAGTAGGAGGCTGGAAGAGCKCTCTAGGGATCCACCGCTCCTTGCCCAGGTGGGGAAAGGGACTCCCAAGGAGTCTGGAGCGACTTGTAGTCCTCCTAGGAGGTGGGACTCCCTAGCTGGACGTCTGACCTCAGCTGTCATAACCCCACCTCGAGCAGCAGGGCGGAGGGACCGGGGCTTGCGCGTGTGCTGGCACTTCGTGTTGTTGGCGCGGGACTTGCTCCCTAGCCGAATACAAACAACTCAATATTGGTGCTTGGGCGTGGGGAGAATTGGCCTAGAAATACAAGCAGCAAATAAAATTAAGCTCTCAAAGTTCGGGGTGGGGGGTAAACTAAGTCCACCTTCCGGAGCCAGAAGTAACAGACATTGACACTGCTTCATGAAGAGCGTAGTTAGAGTGGTGGCTACAGAGTTCAGAAGGCGTTTCTGCTGGTTGTGGGTGCTGGGAGACCCACCATGGATGCCTAGGTACTGCTTCCATGTGCAAATACTGCTTTACTAAAATAAAAAAGTTAGAAACATGAGCTTTCTTATCTCATTATTAAAAACACTTTTCTAAAACACAGGGGAGTAGCCCAGGCACAGCACCGAGTGCTATTTAGCTCTACATTCAGATATTCGGAAAATCCCAAGAAAATTTTATCCAGTGGAGAATTATTAAATTTGGGCTGGCAAGTTTGAAGCACTCAAAAACAACTAGGACTTCTTTGTCTGAAAAATTACTTTGGGGCATTTGAATTGACTGACAACAGGGAACTAAATTCCCTGTTGGGAATGTTCCCATGTGAACAACCTAAAATATAGCCCAGGCAACCGGCTAACTGCAAACACACAGGACTTGAATCATTTTCTTGGTCCTATCGCTGCAAAGTGGAGCAGAATTTAGCAGAAAAGCTTCCTATACACCTGTGCTGTTTGCTTACCTATGGGCAGGAATCCATAGAAGGCTTCTTCAGATGAGAATCAGGACAACCATCCCCTTGGTTACTACATGGCCCTCCTGCTGAAGTCCTTACATGGCACAGATGAAGCCGAGGCTTCCTTGAGCACCCCAGCCCAAYCCCTTTGCCTGTCCAGTCCTCTCTCTGGGTGCCTACCCATGTGTGGGTGACTGTACTCTTTATGGCTGCAGTAATCATCTCATATGGAATTTAGAAACTGAGTTCAGGGGCAGGTCTGAGAGTCCACATCGGGCTCYCAAAATGGCAGGGATTGAGAAGGTAGCTGTTACACATCAGAGTATGGGGAAGACATCTGGGGAACTGGAGCAGGAGGTCAGCACAAAAGTCTGTGCCATCTGTTCTTTCTGYGGTGGACAGAGCCCCAGGTGTGTCACCATGCTGGTCAGAATCAAGCCTGGGACCTCCATTCCTGATGCTGTCTCTAGGTGCTCTGCTGGCCCTGGCAGCCTGGCCAAAGCTGGCTGTCAAAGCTCAAACCCACTCTAACTAGGAACCTCCCTGAGCCTGCTTTCACTGCCCTGCCCTGGGGGTCCTCTCGGATGGTGGGCTGGACCCTCCCCTTCTTCTCACAGGACCCGGAAGGGCCAGCCAGACCCTGGTGGGGTCCCTGCTGTATTTGCAGGACCCAGAATAGATGCTCAAGAAGACCTGCCGAAGAAACTGCATCTGACCTTCATGGAACATGAATCTGTCGAGCACCTGCGGTGTGTCAGGCCTCGGACAAGGGATGTCTGAGTAGATACAGTGAAAATCAAGAGGCTCCATTGAGATACTTTCCCGAGTCAAGCGCAGGAACCTGGGGACATCTACCCTGCCTRCTCCAAGGTCACTGCCTGCTGCATAATTCTCTCTATTGGCATAGCAAAGAGACAGACAGTGCTGTAGTAGACAGGATTAATGCTTTATTAATGATCATCTACATTCACACCATGCATTTCTAAGATTTACATCCAAGAGCACATTGTATTTACACGCAGTGGACAGATCAGGATAACCAATTTAAACCATGGCTGTGTTACGACTCTAGTTTGTTCCAAATTAAATTAGATACATAATACTCTCACCTCCCCCTTTTGACATGTACAATAAAAACCCACTCTTCCTCTTTTTAAGGAATATAAAATTGCATTGATAACTGCACACTGATTAGCAACAAATACATCTGAAACATATAAAACCTGAGAGATAAGCCCAAGTGCTAACACGTCCACACTCGGATTCCTGTGTGGACACATGGAAACGACTGYTCAGTGGTCACCAGCACACTACCTGGGTGACTCTGGAGGAGCTCCCGTGGCTGCTGCCTGCTGGCTGTGAGCTCCACAGCCCTGGGCAGGGGCAATTTCCCCCAGACCCACTGAATACCACAGAATGGGGCTTTGTTTACTGYAATAGTTTACTGTTCTTGTTTTTGCCTTTTGTTGACATTCCTTCTTGATTTTAATAGGAAAGGATCTTTGGCCCATGGAGGTGGGATTTCTACATTACAAAACACACAGAAGTAAGACATGCACATGTCGGGCAAGTGCTCTGTCTGGGCAACTGCCCAGCCCTTGCTCTTTGTCACTGGAGTGCAGAAGCAGGAAGGGGGAGCCCGGCAAGGATAAAGTGGTCAGAAAAATAAATACACGATGTAAAAAATGGACCGCGAAGCTCGTGGCGACAGACCAGAGGCAGCGGGATGTCCCCATGATGCTTTGCATCTGCACTCAATACTGAGGATGACCGAGGGCACAAGTGCTCCGGGATCAAGCAGGCGCTTCTGGTGAAGGCACTCCTACCCAAAGGTCAGGCTGTGAACCTAGCACCCACCACTGGGCCACTCTGGTCTCTCATCAAAGTGACCCGGACTGCTGTTCCAGCCCCCTYGGGCTCCTTTGGAAATGAGGTCGGGTCTTCTCTCCGACCAGGGGGGATGAGAAGGCAATCCCACTGGGGTCCCAGATCAGGAGTCCTGACCACGGAGGTGTTGCCCTGCCCTCCCCTCCCCAGGTTCTGCTCCCTTTGCAGTGGCACCGTCTCGCCAGCAGGGGGAGCAGGATGCGTGAGGCTGGCACCAGGCCTCATTCTCAGCTACCATCTGACCATCCATCCCTGTTATTCTGTTGCCTGATGATGGCAGGAAGGACACCCATGAGGGGAACCCGGCATGGTTGCTCCCAAGAGGGAGTTGGTCCTCTGGGGTAGGGACACTGCAGCACTGACCTGGGGTCCTCTGCGCCCAGCATATTGAGGAAGGTGCCACATCCCCACAAGTTCACCCAGACTCCCAATCCCCACCCACCCCCAGAGGGCCTCCCACTTTAAGGCACTGGGTTCTGGAGACTTGAAAGGTCAGTAACACTAAGGAGGCTGCATGGGTCAAACACAGAGATGCAAACACAGACCAGCAACCCAGACAGGACAGTTACCCACAGTGACAAAGCCGATCCCCCAAGCGTGGGTTCTAGTTAGTGCGTGACCGTGTTAGCTGCAACTGTTACCACTGCCGACCTGAACCACACATTTCCTTTTCACAAATCAAATGTCTGAACTGCTGTGATGACGCTGAACGCCTTAAGGACCGGGTCCTGGGTCACCCCGAGGGGCATGGTTCCATTTCTCAAGTGTGTGAAGTGCTACCCACTCCCCCTCCACCCACCCAGTGGCATCTGAGTCCCTTAATAAGTACCAGCTGCGGCACAGGCTCTGGGGACACGTGGACCCTTCCTGAAGCCAGGACCTGGGGACAGTGGGTTACGCTTCACGAGGTGCCACCCACCATGCTGGGGAAACAAAGCAACAAAACCTTTTTTGGAAGGAAAATTTCTGAGTTTTCTAAGAGCAATTTTCGTTCTGAACTACGACCAGGATTAATCCTATTCTTCGTTTGGTTTGTGGAGAGGAGTCCACGTTCCTCCAGGGTGGCCCGAGGGGCTACTTCTTGGAGTTCACCGTGAGCCTGAACAGGGCGATGATGTCTGCCATGGCTTGCTTCAGGTGTCTCCCAAAGCGGTGGGAATCCTTGGGTTTGAAAGCAGAAAGCAAACCACATCAAGACGAAGAACCCCCTGCACACACTTCAAGTCTTCACGTCTCTCAAATTCCTTTCTGCCAGTCCCTGAGCTGAGCCAGGGAAGGCCTGGAGCTGCGGTGGGTGCAGCCTGAGGCTTCCTGGAGTCCACACTCCCGTGAAGAACACAGTGCCCCTCTCCACCGCCAGCCAGCCTGCTGGAGGGCGCCTCCTGGGCACCTGTTTGGCTCTGGCCTCCAGGACGTGAACTCGTAGCTGGCCTGCCCTACCAAAACTGTCCRCCTGCAGCCGCCACCCACGAAACCCAGTGAAAAATGTGATTTAAAGCCAGGTGAGGTGGTGCACGCCTGTCATCCCAGCAGCTCCGGAGGCTGAGACAAGAGGGTCGAAAGTTTGAGGCCAGCCTCATCAACTTAGCAAGGTCCTATGCAGCTGGGTGAGGCCCTGCCTCAAAACAATGAATAATAAATAAAAAGGGCGGTCAAGTGCCCCTGGATTCAATCCCTGTTCCACACCCCCCCAAAAAAGTGCTTTGAAAGCCAGACAGGCAGATGTTCTGGAAGAAGTAAAGGAGGGGGCAAAGGGGCCAGACCCAGGGCCACGGCCTCTGCCACCAACCACAGCACAGGAGAAGCTGGGTGTGAGCGGAAGCCGGTGCTCCCCAGAGGGGACTGCTGGGC